TAGCCAATCGCTGATTCACATCTCAACCAACAATTGGGCCAGTTATCAACGCTATCATCAAGTTTTGAACAACTCCACTTTCAAGATCTACATATCCACATGTGCCAATGTTTCCGTTTATCAACGTTATATTTTAAGATCTGTGCAAGAACTCAGCTAACAGATGTTTCCGCACATAAAAGCTATCTTCAAGTTTTGTACACCAAAAAAAAGTTTCAAGTACTTCTCTATACTGATGCCAATAGTATCCTTGGAAACATACGTTTATATTGACAACACAGTCAACATTTCTCGCTTGTATTTCCATATCTCTAACACTTCTCTATACTGATGCCAATAGTCTCCTTGGAAACATACGTTTATATTGACAATACAGTCAACATTTCTCGTTTGTATTTCCACATCTCTACCACTTCTCTATACTGATTCCAATAGTCTCCTTGGAAACATACGTTTATATTGACAACACAGTCAACATTTCTCGCTTGTATTTCCACATCTCTAACACTTCTCTATACTGATTCCAATAGTATCCTTGGAAACATACGTTTATATTGACAACACAGTCAACATTTCTCGCTTGTATTTCCACATCTCTAACACTTCTCTATACTGATTCCAATAGTCTCCTTGGAAACATACGTTTATATTGACAACACAGTCAACATTTCTCGTTTGTATTTCCACATCTCTAACACTTTTCTATACTGATGCCAATAATCTCCGGTCTGTGTAGCACAGGTTCAGGTTCTCTGAATAATAAACACAGCGTCTGTGTATCACAGGTACAGGTTCTGTAAATAAACATAAGGTCTGTGTAGCACAGGTTCAGGTTCTCTAAATATTAAACATAAGGTCTGTGTAGCACAGGTTCATGTTCTCTAAATAATAAACATAAGGTCTCTGTCGCAAAGGTTCAGGTTCTCTAAATAATAAACATAAGGTCTGTGTAGCACAGGTTCAGGTTCTCTGAATAATAAACATAGCGTCTGTGTATCACAGGTACAGGTTCTCTAAATAATAAACATAAGGTCTGTGTAGCACAGGTTCAGGTTCTCTAAATAATAAACATAGCGTCTGTGTAGCACAGGTTCATGTTCTCTAAATAATAAACATAAAGTCTGTGTAGCACAGGTTCAAGTTCTCTAAATATTAAACATAAGGTCTGTGTAGCACAGGTTCATGTTCTCTAAATAATAAACATAAGGTCTCTGTCGCAAAGGTTCAGGTTCTCTAAATAATAAACATAAGGTCTGTGTAGCACAGGTTCAGGTTCTCTAAATACGAAACTTAAGGTTTGTGTAGCACAGGTTCAAATACTCTGAATAATAAACATAAGGTCTGTGTAGCACAGGTTCAGGTTCTCTAAATAATAAACATAAGGTTCGGTTAGGTTAGGTTTGTGTAGCAGATTTCAGGTTCTCTAAACAATAAACATAAGGTCTGTGTAGCACAGGTTCAGGTTCTCTAAATAATAAACATAAGGTCTGTGTAGCACAGGTTCAGGTTCTCTAAATAATAAACATAAGGTCTCTGTAGCACAGGTTCAGGTTCTCTAAATAATAAACATAAAGTCTGTGTAGCACAGGTTCAAGTTCTCTAAATAATAAAATGTTAAATATGAATGCTTGTAATTCCACAGATTATTTGTTTTCAAAATGTTAAATATGAATGCTTGTAATTCCACTGATAGTTTGTTTCAAAATGTTAGATACGAATGCTTCTAATTCCACCGATTGTTTGTTTTCAAAATGTTAAATATGAATGCTTGTAATTCCACCGATTGCTTTTCAGAATGTTTAATATGAATGTTTGCAATTCCACCGATAGTTTGTTTACAAAATGTTTAATATGAATGCTTGCAATTCCACCGATTGTTTGTTTTCAAAATGTTTAATATGAATGCTTGCAATTCCACCGATTGTTTGTTTTCAAAATGTTAAATATGAATGCTTGCAATTCCACCGATTGTTTGTTTTCAAAATGTTTAATATGAATGCTAAGATTATAGTTTATTGCAAAATATTCAGTCATTGTACTTATAAAGGTTTAAAGACATTGTTTTTAATATTCAAATGTTCTACCTATAATATACAAATTAATGATGATTTTACAAAATTTTGACGTCTCTGTTTAAGAGCTTTATTCAAAATAAGTATTTCAACAGAGAAAGCATGCGTGGTGGAATATAAAAAAGATTAATGTGATGACTTTATGACTTTTGTTTCGATTTTTAGTTGATTTAAGGAGGTTATGTTCAATTGATAAGAATGGTAAAGTAAGGTTCTAGAACGTTAATGATGCCTATATCGAAAAAGAAGCAGTTTTCTCCAGAACACGAAAGTTACAAAGTTTAATATTTTCACTTCAATTTAGACAACGTAGACTTACCTTCTTAAACATCGTAGACTTACTTTCTTAAACAACGTAGATTTACACTCTTAAACAATGTACTTACCTTCTTAAACAACGTAGACTTACCTTCTTAAACAACATAGATTTACCCTCTTAAACAATGTACTTACCTTCTTAAACAACGTAGACTTACCTTCTTAAACAACGTAGATTTACCCTCTTAACCAGCGTAGATTTATCCTCTTAACCAACATAGATTTACTCTTTCAAACAACGTAGATTTACCCTCTTAACCAGCGTAGATTTATCCTCTTAACCAACGTAGATTTACTCTTTTAAACAACGTAGATTTACCCTTTTAAACAACGTAGATTTACCATCTTAAACAACGTAAACATACCTTCTTTCCATTGCCTCCAGTTTATCACAGCTAGCTCTGTTCTTTCTAAAATAGCTCTGAAAATAAACAGTTTTATTTAGAATCTTTCACCTAAGTTCATATTTTATATTAAACCGTACATCTCATAAGATAAATATGTCTGTTACACTAGCTATGATTATCATACAGTGTTATTAGTTTAATAAATGTCAGTTGAACATGACACAGCTTATGATAAAGTACTTAAGTACAGCCGCATGAAAATGGAATACCTCTCACTGAGGTGTAGTCTCATAAAATAAAGTTTTCTTTTGTTAAACATTCAAGAAATTTTCATTTTTGGAACAGATTGACAAATGCATGAATGTGTAAATAGATAAAACCAAGAGACATATAAAGAGATGTCCCTGAAACATTATTATTTAATTTAAACAATATTATTTAATTACAATAACGTTGTTGTCTCTAAATGTTTAGATATAAAATTTCAACCATGTAGTTTAAGTTGTGTCTGGAATATTAATGAGGCAATAATGAATTTATTTTTTAATTATACGAATTTTAATTGCAATTCAATTAACTATGTTTATATGTGAGCTTATATATGGTTTGAATTTTATAAAATAACGCAAAGACGATAAAAAATATATAGTGAACTACCTAATGTTTGTGAAGGCCGTTT